AGGAATAAAAAGGTGGAAAGAATCGCGTACGAACGACGCTCGTTTAGCCAAAGTGAACGGGGTTACCGATCTCGAGTGGCCGTGACTCTGGGCCAGGGTCTGGGCCAGTCGGATTCCACGTACCTGGTGTTTCGAAAACGCGCCGAGATCGTGTATCGGACGTGGTCCAGGGGGGATCGTCGAACGTTCGGATATTCGCCGCGTTAATGGGAGAATAAAAATGATAAATATGGCGGAAATCAATGGAAGGAAGAAAATCGGCGGAGCCTTTTAGATTCCAGACCAGTCTGGATCGATTTGGGCCGATTTACATTCATGTGGCTCGAACGTGATCGGTGTATGCAGCGAGCCGTGAATGGGAAAAGAGGGTGGGAGTGTAGGTAAAGGGTGGCGCTGGGGTTAAATGCACGTCCCCGTAAAGGGGTTGCCAGAGGACAACGGACGAGGAGAAACCGTGTGAGAGGGACGCACCGTAGAAAAAGCACATACTCAAAGGAGGTGTAAACAAGGACGGGAGAAAAACACCGCAGGATTTTTGTAGACGGCTGTCTGGCTTGTAAATTTACCAGACCAGAAGAAATTGTCCTTCGATAATCACGACGATGATCGTTTTCAGCTCGCAGGCCGTGTTACGGCCGATAATACGGAAAATTTTAATCGCGAGTATAGCTAGTCTCTCGATTTTTTAAATTTCTCCTCGTTCGACTTTAATAATATCGCATTCCCTTTCGAGGAGCTACGTAGATTCGCGTTCGAGCGAATTCCCTCCGATATTTTCCGCGTAGTACTGCGCGTAAGAGGCGATGAATGCCTCTGTATTCTTAGATCATTCGCCAACTCTCTCGCCTTATCGATTTTACGCGTTACATAAAGCAACTTTGCCAAAACAGCGAGCTCGCTCGCGAAACCCATTCGAATTTTCGAGGAACCCGGGGTGTCGGGGTAGCAGCGCCTTCGCCGAATTCGCGCCACGGAATAAACGCGGAGTGACCCCCCGCGTTACGCGATACCCAGGTACGTAGCACGCGTGTCATTTTTCTCTTCCCCCGTTCTTCCCCTTTTTCCTCTCTTTCTTTTTTGCCTCTCTCTTCTTTTAATACGAAGCATCGGAGAGCGTCTTGCGATCGCGAGAGAAGTTATCCGAAGAATTAAACTTAGAAGCGATCGGCGCATGCACCCTGTCGGGGCATCGACGAACAGAGACAGAGCCGACAGCATGGAAAATCCGAGGACGGAAGAAAGAGAAATAGGAGGTGGAGGAGAAAGAGAGGGAGAGGGGAAGCATCGGCGAGAGAAAAGAAGAAAGAGAAGGGGACACGGTTGCACGCGCTGGAGTAGCTGGAGGGGTTGAAAGGGGTAACGAGAGCGCGCCCGACGAAGAGGAGAGGAAACGCGAGACGGTGCGACGAGGACGAAAGAGGGAAATGCACGAGCGGCAGCGGCGCGGGGGGAGAGGGAGCAAGAGAAGAGGACGGAGAAGAGGACGTAGAAGAGGACAGAGAGAAGGGGTCGGAAGGAGGACAGAGCGACGGTGGAGAGAAAGGGAACTAGAGAGAAAGAGACGAGCGTGGAGGGAAAGGGAGAGAGAGAGAGAGAGAGAGAGAGAGAGAGAGAGAGAGAAAGAGAGAAAGAGAAAGAGTGAGGGCGAAGTAGAGAGGAGGAAGAGGAGGAGGAGGAGGAGGAGGAGGAGGCAAGAGGGGGAGGGAGAGAACCTCTGGCAACGGGTCGATCGAAAGCGCAGCGCAGAGAAATGCACCACCTCTGCTCTGGTCTGGCAGCTTTGCTGGCACACCACCACGTCCGTGTTCGCCAGAAAGAGAGAGAAAGGGAGAAGGACGGAGAGAGAGGGAGAGAGAGAGGGATAGCGAGCGACCAATACCGACGCAGGGGGAGGACGAGCCAAGCCGACTCGCGTTGGGCTAGGTCAGGTCTACCCGAGTTCCACACACTGCTCTGCGTGTGCCATCCAAAGAGACCCGAAGGCGGAGACCACCCTCGAAAAAGGGTTGAAACGCGAAATTACGCGAACCGTGTTCATTATCGCGGAACAGTGCCGCTTTCGGAGGATTTTCCTTTTTCCGAATAAAAATCCGAACGAATCGATCGCGTTGCAACACCGCTGGTTTGTTTGCCGAACTGATCGGCATCGTAAGCGCGGCGTGCTCGCGTTCGCCGTTTAACCGCGAGATCATTCTGTCATTGACAGCTAGGGTGGAAAGTTCCCACTCGGCTCATCGTTGTGTCCGTCGATCCGCGCGCGTTATCCTTCTCGTCGTCGTGGTAAGATCGTTCGTTGTTTTCGTATTCTCGATCCCGTCTTTTTGTCGTCGATCGCTGTCTTCGTTTCCCCGACCTGGGAAAGTAACACAAGGGGTGGAGGGGCTGCGAGACAGAAAGAGGTGAAGTGCGTCAAAGTGGTTCGCGTGTGCCTTCGAGAGGAAAAAGAGAAAACGGTGCTTCCCGGTTTATAGTTTTCCTTCGATTCGACCATCACCATCACCATCACCACCACCACCGCCACCGCCACCGCCACCGCCACCGTCACCACCACACAGGACACAACGACGATCGCGTGAATAAGCGCGAAGAGGAAAACGAGAAGAAAACAGAGGAATACAGCGGTGTCGCGTCGAAATACTGGAAAACGATAGTTGTTGATAAACAAGCAGAAGGGAGAGTGTCAGTGGTTGATTAGTCGGGTGCAACGACAGCGCCGATCCGAATTTTCTTTTCTCGATGTCCTGATAATCGATAAGTGTCGTATAGGTGGCAGAGGACCGCCTAGGCCGGCAGCGATCGGCCTTATCGACGTCGAAATTTCGTCTTGCCGAGGGACATTGGCAAATAAATGTTGAGAACAGCCAACGTGTTTCGTTCCTCAACGCGAGGCCAGCCTAGGCTCCCGAGTGTCCCAAGAGTCGTCGGGATGCCGATCTCCCTGAGAAACCACAGGATTACATAAAACCGGACTCGGCGCGATCCTTTCCGAAAATCATCCCCTATCGTAGGGACGTAATCAGTCGCGTCAGCACGATACAGGCGAAAGATCGGCGAAGGAACTCGTCGCGAGGCGGTGTAGCACACTTTCGTCGACTCGCAGTTCGCGAACCGATGCACCAAAAGGCGTGAGTACCGCACGTTAACGCTGCATGACGATAGTACTCGATATCGTGATCCTCTCCTATCGAAACGTTTTAAAGGCAACCGATCGAAAGGAATCGAACGCGCGTTCGATTCGCACACCCCGTTCCAGCGATCGTGGTACCCTAAGAGCTCCAAAATACCACCTAATCGATTCGCCTCAACTTTTCCCTCGCGTCTCTTTCCCCCCTCTCTCTTTTTTTGTTTTTTTTTTTTTATTTTCTTTTTAACAAGAATTTAAAAATCGATTACTCGCCTCCCTCCCCCGAGAGGGCGAAAAGGAAAAGGGAAAAAAGGGGGAAAGCATAGCGTATAAAAGTCGATGTCAACTTTATGCATTATGAATGCGATCGTTGGCCACGAGTTACAACGATGCCCTGTTTGTCGCGAAAACTTGGAAACGTCGCTAAACGATTCGTCGCGTAACAAACAGGATTAAAGAGAACGGTTCGAGCAATGGTGGCAAATTTTTGAAAGAAAACCGGTTATTCGTGGAATCTTGAACGACGCCTCGGAACAACAGAGTAGGCAAGCATTTCCGTATCGCGCGTTTAGCCGTAGAGGATACGTAAGAAAACCGATATCTAATAAAATCTACGACAAGCGAGGAGAGGGCGGGGGTGGGGGAGGAAAAGCACGATGAAAGGATAAATACGATAGAGAGATAGAGATAGAGAGAGAGAGAGAGAGAGGGAGGGAGCGAGAGAGAGAAAAATATATAGGTAAACGGGCGAAAACGTGATTCGAAGGATCGTCGAAAATCGAGGGCAAAGAAAAATCCTTTTAATGAAAGGAGTTGGGGAGAAACGGGGGACGGAAAACCAAAAAGTTACGCGGAAAGTTAACGAATACTGAACGGGGCTGGTAGCGTGCGATTTCCACGGAAATGGAAATTCAACGAGTAGCGAAAACCCCCGATGCAAGGGCGGGCGGGGGTGCGGGGCGCGGGGACGGACTTCAGAGTTTATGCCCCGTCCCCCTCCCTCTCACCCCTGCAGTCGATCAATGCGTGGACGGGTTTCACTTTCGCGGTGTTAAAGTGTTGCACCATCGCCGATCGAGGGACGAGGAAAAACACGATTTCACCCCCCGCCCCCTCCCCATCACGTGGCTAATTTTTTTTCCCACGCATGGAAGAAAAACGGTGAACGTCGAACTCGACGACTTCTGTGGAGAAAACGCACGATAAGCGGAGAAAAATGTTCTCGATTAGCTGGAAGCAGCGACACGCGGACGAACGCGTTGCTTCTCTTTTACAAGCGTTTCGAAGTTAATGGCTGGAGTTATTGATCGTATCGATTTACCGGAATCTCGACTATTTATAACGCTCTACGTTGTCGGACGTCATTACACATAGATACTTCTAAGTCGATTCTAATAATACCGCGATTCTCGCGTTTCGTTCTCGCTGCGCGACGATTGTCGCGAGTACGCGAGAGCCGCTTTCATATCGGCTTGCGAGATCGAGGCACGACGAAAACGTCGTAAGCGTTGAAATACGAGAATTCACGGTGGAAGAGGTTCGGGAACGTGGAAGATTTAAAACAGCGAATCGAGCGTCGGAATAATTCGTGGAACGCCGAGGCCGAATCACGCCTGACTGTCGGAACTCGTAGATAACGGCGCTTCGATATGTGCTAAATTTTTAGCAAACGTCTCGGGTATAACGGTATCCGAATGCGTATCGCATCGAGTGTCGGTGCGGCCGTGCACGAGCGTTTACACGCGATCGACAAGTATGAAAATTGAACGCCGCGACAGGAATCGTTCGAGTAGCAGCACTTCCTAGCGTCTGCTCTATCGAGATCACTAATGATCCAGTCTAACGCTTCTTTTTATGCATTTCTGTACAGTGAAGGATGGAGGCCAGCGAGTGGGATCACGCGACCTTGAGGGAAGAGGAATTCGAGCAGCATGCCGTATATTTGGTACCGGATGTGGCGGCATCGCCGGGCGATACCAATCGTGCGGAGGCATCCCTGCCAAGAAATTTGGTCCTCAAACCTTCTCAGGCCCTCAACGATGTACGTTCCTCCGCCAAAGAATCCTTTCTCGAGACCTCCTCGGTGAGAGTCGCGAGAATAATCACAATTTCTCTAAGTCACTTGCCTAAACAGAGAAACGCCCTTGAACCGCGAACTCCGGCTCGCGAGGACCTTAGAGAACACGTTTCGTTCGATTCCATACGGGACCGACTGATCGTTGCGATTTAAGGAACGCCGGTGAATTAAACTTGACCGAGTGACGAAGCTAATTAACTTACCGAGTATGACCTAGAGCTCAAGTCAATCGTTACACTTTCCTCGGTGACAGCAATCGAGACCAATAGCCTCGGTCACTGCACGACGCTACAGACTCTTGTTTCGAATTCGAACCGTATTATTCGGTCAATCGGAAGAAACGTGGCGAACCACTCGACGGATTTCGGTAACCGACGTAGGGCAAACGAGGGGGGGGGGGGGGGGGGG